CCCCCTCCCTCCCTCCCCACTTGCCCTCGACCACCGGCACTGTAATATATGTGGTTACGGGCGGGTGCTGCTTTTCTCGGCGTAATTAAATACAATCGAATGGAAGGAGAAAAAGAAGGTTAAAGAGCGAACACATGCTGATTATCAGCAGATAATCCTAATTAGTGAGTAATCCACGGAGGCCCGCAGTGTGTAACGATACCGGTACGTTTAACCGCCCCCACGGGGCGAAGTTGATGGCAAAGAATTCGTCATCATTCGTCTACAATAAGTCGACCATCGGAAGCTTGTGGTCAGTTCAGGTGTTACTAGTAAGACTGTTATTTCATATTAGCGCAATGGTGGTATTGACAGGCATAGTCAAGGATTAGTCCCGGGTGATAATACCTGACAGTTATCGCTAATTGAGTGCTAATTATTGACGGGAACCTCCCTCTAACAACTGTACAAGTCATTAGACATAATCTCCAACCGAGTGGTGTTGTTCGAAGACAAAACAGTCGTCAGAAATTTTCAACTAAGATTATACCATCTCCTTATCATCGAAGAATGAAGTGGAATTCCGAAAATTCTGAACATCAAAGGGCCGTGGTGAAGAAAGGTATTCTTTTGAGAAAAAGGGTCGTAGAAGTGATGTGATAATGAGACTCCCCTCCCCGAATCCTGTAAACAAACAGTTGTCGGCACATTTAAATGTTTTTTGTCGAGCATTAGATAAGTTAAAACACCGGGAGTTTTTTGCGTAATGCGATTGTTATATAGTAAGAACATCAGGCGATAAATCTGGGCTGTGTATTTTTGTTGTGTGTGATTGTGATATTAGCGTGTCTCTGTAACAAGTACTATATATACACTGGAAATCTCGTTCTAAAACCTTCGAACTTCTTATCATTTCGCCGCAGCATCTCCCTACACGGGCTCGATCAGCATCTGTACCAAAATGTACCCAGACCAGACAAACATGAAACAGACATCTAAATAAAACGTTTATTAACGTCACACATGGGACACCCACAACTTCCGGTCGTACCGGCTAACAATGATATAGGAATAACAGGGTTCATTACGGGTGAAGGGCGACCGGGACATGTAGGTGTCCAGCGTATATTGAGGGGTATGATGATAACCGTTCGCGTTTGTATAATAATGTGACATTACCGTGCGTGTTTGTATAATAATGTGACATAACCGTGCGTGTTTGTATAAGGATGTGACATTACCATGCGTGTTTGTATAAGGATGTGACATTACCATGCGTGATTGTATAATGATGTGACATTACCGTGCGTGTTTGTATAAGGATGTGACATTACCGTGCGTATTTGTATAAGGATGTGACATTACCGTGCGTGTTTGTATTAGGATGTGCCATTACCGTGCGTGTTTGTATAATAATGTGACATTACCGTGCGTGTTTGTATAAGGATGTGACATTACCGTGCGTGTTTGTATTAGGATGTGACATTACCGTGCGTGTTTGTATAATAATGTGACATTACCGTGCGTGTTTGTATAAGGATGTGACATTACCATGCGTGATTGTATAATGATGTGACATTACCGTGTGTGTTTGTATCAGGATGTGACATTAACCGTATCAATCTTATGGGTGTGTTTGCGTTTTGCTTGGAAAAGAACATGCGTGTGTCCGGTGACGTATAAATTCATTGAACAAAACACGTATCCATCGGTTTTAATTCCATTTCTTGTGATTCCTTCGCTTAAAACATCAGAATTATTTTCTGAAAGCATTAAATCGTGAAAGATAGTCGTGTTTATTCTTTTTAGAATAAACACGAACATATGCAAAAGTTCGTCCTCCGTGTGGGGAGCGTTGTGAACATGAGACTTAGTCAGTAAAGACTCTGCCCTTTTCAGTCTTGGTGACCTCCTACACGTATTTACCAGTGTTTCATTTTGAATATGATAGATTCACATAGGATCGTGTTGGACTCTAGTCAAAGATGGCACATTTTGCACCCGAACCTATAACTGGAAGCGAGAGTATAGATGTTATCACGGCGTGTAGATCGGTATCAAACGCTAAACGACTCACTATCCGTACCTGGTGATAAGGAGACTTGCTAGAGTCCGTGCGTGCTGTGTGGCCATCAGGCCGGTTACTGCTGCTGGTCGGGCCGCCCAGAGAGACAAACACGTGGTCTCCACACAACTCATACTAATTAAAATGTTTCTTTATTTGAAACTTTAATTTGCCTGCAAACACGTTTTCTGCTGTCTGTAGAATAACAATCGTGGTCTCGAGTATGATGTGGTACGCGTTTTAACACGGTGCGCCGGTGTGTACTGTATACTTCATGATGGATGATCTTGACTGACTCAGGTTTCTTATGTAAGGCCGATACGTGCGCGGGTGTAACAGTATCTGATATGATATTATAATAATTGTTTTATGGTAGATATGAGGATTTACTCTAGTCTACCACAAACCTACACCGACCCTATTTCTGGTGCAATCACGAACTGAATAAAACACATCAAATTCAAATTTAATTTTCTTCTGTCTGCTCTTAGCTTTAACGGTGAAGTGGGCAACAGGAAGTCAGACGCATTTTTATCCTAAAGATATTTATGCATAACATTAGAAAGGTGTTTGGTGATTTCAAAATGATCGACTTCAAAGCATGCAAAGTAGTTGTAACTTTAATTAATTTTATTTCAGGTACTGGCATCCTTTCATGGGATCCAAAAGAAAATCCGTACTATTTCAACGCCAATATTGTGTGAGTAAAAACCCTTGATTAATTATGTGTTTAAACATCATCAACTGGTCCCCCCCTCCCCCTCCCCAGACGTGTCAGTAGCCTGACCCTAGGAGCACTTAACCATACACAAAACATATACAAAATATACACCAAAGCATATACTAAATATAAACCAATACATATACTATATACACCAATACATCAACTTAATATACACCAAAACATATACTAAATACACACCAATACATATACTAAATACACACCAATACATCTACTAAATATACACCAATACATATACTAAATATACACCCATACATTTACTAAATACACACCAATACATATACTTAATATTTGATTGCATGTACAATATGTAAGTAACGCAATATTGACGAATTGAATTAACAAAGGTGGCTGGAGAAGTATAATTGAGGAGTCTAAGGGAAAGGATATATGATTTACTTAGCTCAACTGTGAGCTACTTACTAAATTGTACATCCAAATCCCGATGAAAAAAATCGACAAAATTACCTCCAAGTCAACAAACCGGGACAAAATATACGACAGCATCAACACATAGGGACAAAATATACGACAGCATCAATACATAGGGACAAAATATAAGACAGCATCAACACACAGGGACAAAATATACGACAGTATCAACACATAGTGACAAAATATACGACAGCATCAGCACATAGGGACAAAATATACAACAGCACCAACACATAGGGACAAAATATACGACAGCATCAGCACATAGGGACAAAATATACGACAGCATCAACACATAGTGACAAAATATACGACAGCATCAACACATAGGGTCAAAATATACGACAGCATCAACACATAGGGACAAAATACACGACAGCATCAACACATAGGGACAAAATATACAACAGCATCAATTCATAGGGACAAAATATACAACAGCATCAACACACAGGGACAAAAAATACGACAGCATCAGCACATAGGGACAAAATATACGACAGTATCAACACACAGGGACAAAATATACGACAGCATCAGCACATAGGGACAAAATATACAACAGCATCAATACATAGGAACAAAATATACGACAGCATCAGCACATAAGGACAAAATATACAACAGCATCAACACATAGGGACAAAGTATACGACAGCATCAACACATAGGGACAAAATACACGACAGCATCAACACATAGGGACAAAATATACAATAGCATCAACACATAGGGACAAAATATACGACAGTATCAACACATAGGGACAAAATATACAACAGCATCAGCACATAGGGACAAAATATACGACAGCATCAACAGCCAGGGACAAAATATACGACAGCATCAACACACAGGGATAAAATATACGACAGCATCAATACATAGGGACAAAATATACAACAGCATCAACACACAGGGACAAAAAATACGACAGCATCAGCACATAGGGACAAAATATACGACAGTATCAACACACAGGGACAAAAAATACGACAGCATCAGCACATAGGGACAAAATATACGACAGTATCAACACACAGGGACAAAAAATACGACAGCATCAATACATAGGGACAAAATATAAGACAGCATCAACACATAGGGACAAAATATACAACAGCATCAGCACATAGGGACAAAATATACGACAGTATCAACACACAGGGACAAAAAATACGACAGCATCAATACATAGGGACAAAATATTCGACAGCATCAACACATAGGGAAAAAATATACGACATCATCAACACATAGGGACAAAATATACAACAGCATCAATTCATAGGGACAAAATATACAACAGCATCAACACACAGGGACAAAATATACGACAGTATCAACACATAGGGACAAAATATACAACAGCATCAGCACATAGGGACAAAATATACGACAGTATCAACACATAGTGACAAAATATACGACAGCATCAACACATAGTGACAAAATATACGACAGCATCAGCACATAGGGACAAAATATACAACAGCACCAACACATAGGGACAAAATATACGACATCATCAACACATAGGGACAAAATATACAACAGCATCAGCACATAGGGACAAAATATACGACAGCATCAACACATAAGGACAAACTATACAACAGCATCAACACATAGGGACAAAATATCCGACAGCATCAACACATAGTGACAAAATATACAACAGCATCAACACAAAGGGACAAAATATACGACAGCATCAACACACAGGGATAAAATATACGACAGCATCAATACATAGGGACAAAATATAAGACAGCATCAACACACAGGGACAAAATATACGACAGTATCAACACATAGTGACAAAATATACGACAGCATCAACACATAGTGACAAAATATACAACAGCATCAACACAAAGGGACAAAATATACGACAGCATCAACACAAAGGGACAAAATATACGACAGCATCAACAGCCAGGGACAAAATATAAAACAGCATCAACACATAGGGACAAAATATACGACAGTATCAACACACAGGGACAAAAAATACGACAGCATCAGCACATAGGGACAAAAAATACGACAGCATCAACACACAGGGACAAAATATACGACAGCATCAACACATAGCGACAAAATATACGACAGCATCAACACATAGTGACAAAATATACGACAGCATCAACACAAAGGGACAAAATATACGACAGCATCAACACATAAGGACAAAATATACAACAGCATCAATACATAGGGACAAAATATACAACAGCATCAACACACAGGGACAAAATATACGACAGTATCAACACATAGGGACAAAATATACAACAGCATCAATTCATAGGGACAAAATATACAACAGCATCAACACATAGGGACAAAATATACGACCGCATCAGCACATAGGGACAAAATATACGACAGCATCAACACAAAGGGACAAAATATACGACAGCATCAACACATAGTGACAAAATATACGACAGCATCAACACATAGTGACAAAATATACGACAGTATCAGCACACAGGGACAAAAAATACGACAGCATCAATACATAGGGACAAAATATACGACAGCATCAACACATAGGGACAAAATATACGACAGCATCAATACATAGGGCCAAAATATACGACAGCATCAACACATAGGGACACAATATACGACAGCATCAACACACAGGGACAAAATATACTACAGCATCAACACACAGGGACAAAAGATACGACAGCATCAACACACAGGGACAAAATATACGACAGCATCAACACACAGGGACAAAAGATACGACACCATCAACACACAGGGACAAAATATACGACGTCAAAATCGCAAATCTTCTTTCTGACGTCACAATGAGCTTTGCAAGAGAATCATCATGAGCGGAATAAAATATGCAACCTGTTACTGAGCGAGATCGGGGTATCTCAGTTGAGGGCTAAGATTCTGTAACATCCCAACCTCGGCTTACGCCTCGGTAGCAGTGAAAATACCACTTTTAGCACTGTCCAGTCAGAACGATAGTATCTATTCACTGCGTCGATTTGCCGATTTACTGCTAACTTAAGTTGTTTTAGCTGAGTCAACATAAAGACCAACAAGCTGAACAAGGTAGTTCCTTTATCTTATGACCAGCATCAGATTTATAACTCAGAATCATTCATCTCAAACACAAACTCTTTTTTGAGTTATGGAAGAAACTCCTAATGTTATTATCAAACCACACTGGCATCTCGACCGCATCACTTTAAGGCAGTTGTTTATAACGCCCTGTGTTTATTTTCCAAGTCCAAAGGATTATTTGGAAGTGGATACACTACATTTATAAATGTTTTCAAGACTTAGATATATTTTGTATATTTACACACATCGTTTTGATGTCAATCTAATCACAAACAGAACAAATATGTAGTCATGTGCCACAGTTAACATGTGTCTGTAAGCTATTTATAGGACAAAACAATCTTATACAATATATATATATAGATGTATATACAGTATATTCTACCGACTCTTTTTTCGTAGTACTTGAGCTGTTGACGTAACATCAATATCAAATCTAAAATAACAATTTGATAAAGTGAAACTAAATAACAATAATGTGACTTTGTTTTCAGTGTGGTTCCGTACTGTTCTAGTGATTCCTGGACAGGCACGTCAAAGAGTTCGGGTATGTATTGTCTGCTATAGGTCATCTCTGTACCAAATATACAGCAGCGAACAGTGACTTTCTTCGTAAAACGTTCCAAGAAAGCCCTTTGCGTTTCGCGGTTGGTTTCGCAATACAGTGTTTCTATTATAATTTGAAGTGTATTATATCTCCATCATTTCAGAGGGATATGCATTTCTGGGGTCTTACATCGTAGAGGCTGTGATACGAGAGCTGATTCCCAAGGGACTTCAAAGGGCTCGGAAGTTGATGCTGGCGGGGAGCAGGTAATTGTTTATCATTTAAATGAAATTGTTAGTCTTAACCTTCTGAAACAATCAACGGCGTTTTCAATTTTGAAGTTCCCACTGACATTGTGCCCTATCCGTTTTTCGGCTCTCATTCATTTGGTAAGTTCCCAAGACGTCATTATCATTATCTATCTCATACAATGTACTGTTTTGATATCTATAGTGCTGGTGGTACCGGTGTTCTGACCAACCTGGACAGGGTAGCTGACCTTATGTCTAAACTGGCCCCGGCAGTGGAAGTGCGAGGGATCGCCGACTCGGGCTGGTTCGTGGATACCCCGCAATATCACGCCAGAGAGTGTACAGAGCCGTTTTCCTGCGCCCCGGCCGACGGCGTCAAACGTGGTATCAAGTACGTCATCACCTGTTTATATGTATATTAAGTAATTTGCATGGTATTTTACAGATAGTAGCATATTCATTCAAACAAAATATAATAAAGGGCATGTGAAATATAATGAATGCCTAACGAATTCCGTGCAGTCTCTTACTGTAATATTGTTTTTACTTCAGATACACTGGTTTTTCTTTTTGATATGCTGGGTATTGTTTACATGTTATTGAAACATACACTTGACTTTTTTCCTGGTGAAATGATAACTTGTTCGTGTTGATCCCTGGTTTCGTTGACAGAAAAATGCATCATTGTGCTTTATCGGATATACGAAATGTTAATATATCTTGAAAATTAGAAAACAGGAAACGTGTGCTGGATGTGAGAAAAACAAGAAACGTATTTTAATCAAAGTGGTCAAATTCAGAGAAACAAGATTTAATCTTTTTCACAGGTGTGTTTGGAAGGCGTTCACCTTTGATCGCCGTTACAACACCTCGATCTACGATCGACCGTGCCATTTTCAAACGTCACTGTGAAATGAGTTCTGAAAGGACACGACTATTTATCCAAATATTGTCCCCAGTTTGATCTGTGTGACTCTACACACCAAATTTGAGGACAAAGTGAAATATCAGTTTTCTGTTTACTAATAATTATTGGTAAGGCAGGCTGGTGGTATGAGCCGCCGATTAAGGAACAATGGGTTACAGCGATACACAACAACCGACCCGTTTGAAGTATCCCGCATCGCTTAACCGTCAGGTTTTATTTCCCTATAAAATCGCCTTTATATGAGGACCTTTACCCTACCAATAGCCCATCGGACAGGAATACCGTCACTTTGATCTGCCCCTGTTGCCTTGGACGTGTAAATAGGTCTGCGATTGATATAGACCCGTTCTCGCATTGCGAGCTTAATCAGGCATCAGTAGATCTGTGAACTATATCTTTAATATCCATTTAATTAGAAATAGCATTTCGGGTTTGATAACTAACAATTATATTTCAAACGGATGTTACAATATAATTATGAGATTTTGTTTATTATTTTGATTTTGTCCTTTTTTTGTTATTTATCTTGTGGGAAACACTATCGGGGACGCGGGGACACCAGGTTGTACAAATAAATGTGTTTGAAATAAAAATAATAAGATAAAAATAAATATGTTTAAGAATGTTCACTAATAGAACGTTACTAGTATTCTGTTTCTGTATCAAACGCTGAGTTACATATCTGTCAGATCTGTAGTACTAATAGAGACCGTAACAGCGTCAAGCTTCCCTGTCACAGTATCCGCGTCCTAGTTTACATAAACAATATCAGGCCTGAGCGACACTCTCTAATTTCATGTAATAAATACGTGATGGTTTTTGTTTTTGATAACAATGGGCTAGAAAAAAAAGAGAAAATTCCGGATTGTAGTATAACTGGTCTCTGATTAGAATCTGAATTAGAATGATGAAAGGAATAAAATCCGGAATTACCGTCCGGTGACGAGTTCGAAATTATAGCTTCGTGACATTTAATCGGAAGGTTGACTGCATGAAATTACTCTATTCAGAATACTTCTCCTCTGTTATATCTCCGGGGTGATTAGTGAGAGGATAAAATAGTGGAACACATTTTGATTCTGACGGGAAATCGTTAAATCTGCTATAACAAGGTATAAATTGTTAGATAGGGTCTCGTTACAATGTGACCTAGAAAACAGACAAAAAATAAGAGAGCGAAACTTGTGTGTTATGTACGAGACGAGAGAGTGGTGGGCCAGGAGACGTATAGTTCATTCACAATGCCAATTAACACTTGTATTTCTACCAATCAAATCATCTTTTACCGAAAATCTATATGATTATATTTTATACAATTTATTGTTTATTTGTATTAATTTACATTTCAGACTATTGTCTGTCTACAACAAGAGAATACCAAAGTGTAAACAAAACAATAACTCAAAATCGATAAATCTAGGGCAAAATATGAACAAAGGACAGATTTACATGGAGACCATTGAAAAAGTACAAGGAGAATAAGAACAGAGGTCCCGGAAGGGAAAGCGTCTTCTCCTTCATCGATGACCCCCTCCATGTAAATCTTAGTCAAATACAAGTAATACCACGTCCTCACATCGGTAACTCGGATAGTGACGACAAAACCACAAGGCATTCTAATGAGCAGGATTAACATCGACCATCATATCCCACAGGGAAATTACATTTTTCCCTGCGAGATCCTGAAGGCGACCATAGATTTTGTCCATAGCCTTCTTAATTGTGATTTCAAATACGCGACAATGCATCAATGAAAATCAACCAGAAGAAATGACATTTCACCTATGACCTTTTTGACTTCGAATAACGGTTTTGTGGACACAATGATATTCTTTGTTGTTTTTTGTGCACGCTGTATCGAAGAAAAGTAGAGAATCGCCATTTTTCGTTTCAGTTTGTGGAGAGGCCAGGTCCCTGATGCCTGTAAAGCACAGTACCCTGAATCAGAGCATTGGAAATGTTACTTCGGCTACAGGATATATCCAACACTTAAAAGTAGGTCAACCTATGCATAGCCCTAACAAGTAGGCCAATCGTATACAAAACACTTAAAAGTATGTCAATCTTACACACAGACCTTAAAGTAGGTCAATCTTATACACAACACTGATAAGAAGCTAGGTTACTCTTATACGCATTACTTAAGCGTAGGTCAAAGTTTGTCTAAAAGTGACTCTGTCATAAAACTGTATCATGTCTATAAAACGAAGTTTTGTTATGCTCATTAACAATAATACTTGACCAGTGTTTCGTTTTATTGTAGCTCCCATATTCATTGTACAGTACTTGTTCGACGAGGCCCAAATTACAGTCAATAATCTCATCGACCAATCACAGCTGGCTATGAATCGGGGAAACACGGTGTTCTCCAGGGGACAATGGGAGTACCTTCACAATCTTGGCGAACATGTGAAAAGCACTTTACAAAATGTCACGTAAGTAATAACAGAAATTATACCTCAAATTTACTCCAAAGGAGGCGATTAGTAGCATCTTCAAGTTTGATTGAGGAGTTCTTAGGAAGACATTCACTTTATACAGTATGTTGTTACTGAAAATATTTTGCATTTCTTCAGGATTGGCAATGGTTTGATTTTTGATAAACTGTATACGATAAATTGTTGTGCAGGACAAGATTTGGTCTAGTTTTCACTCATAGATAGTATTAACGCTAGATATATATGTACACATTATTCCTAAAATTAGTTATAGATAACTGTGAAATATGTTTTATTAACACTAGTTGTATAGATGCATATACAGTGTTCGTAATAGTTGTTAACATAAATAAGCAGTATTGTTTAAACAAGCTATCATTATATGATAAAAGGTAACATTATTACTTCAATGCAAACTAGTGGCCATACTTGTTTACATATATCAATATACACAGCATCGTCAATACCAGTAAAACAATATGACAACTCAGCTGTGATGTTGTATTTCAGGGCCGTATTTGCACCAGCATGTCTCTCTCATGAACTACTACAGAAAAGGTGAGTTGACACTTTTATAGTACCCGAAAAAACCCCAAAGAACTGTAAGGAAATTCTAAAGTATGTGTACAGGCATTCTATGATACCCGAACAGACATTCTACAGTACATGTGCGGGAGTGTACAGTATCTGTACAAACATCCTATAATTCACGAAAAAGACATTCTACAGTATGTGTTCCAGATCAATACTCCCGAAGCGTTATTGTTCAAACAGAGTTGATTAAGAGCGTTGAAATATGAATTAGGAAAATCCTTTGGCGAGTTAGACTTTCAAGCGGTCTTGTGGTAGTTAAAACAATTTTAGTACCAGATATATTGTTCATTGACCCTCAAATCAGGATAAATAAGAAAACGCAAGGTGGGTTAGACTCAGCGGTCAGTCCGACCTCGAAAAAATACTGTAAATCCTCGAAGTAGCATATTTAAATATCTTCGGAATGTATAAAAAAACAAGATTTAAATAAAATTGATTGAAACAATGTTAAGTCTCCAATACGTAATTAACAGGCTCACAACAGGTATTGGCAAACGATCTAAACACCCGAAGCACGTGTGGAAGCTGCACGCGCGATACCTACCAGGGTCACTGGATGTTATGTTCATTTCCTAATGTAAATGAAATGTTTGAAGATGAATGGAGACGCGTAATGTGCGGTACCTGGCAGTCTGTTTAGAGGTTTTAGTTCATATTTAGATTGTAGATATAAATAGTTGAAGATGAATTAATTAAGACATGATTTTCGTGTTGCAGTACCTGGCAGTCTGTTTCTGTAGAAGGAGTAAACCTAGCCCAGTCTATATACTGCTGGGAAAACAGCTTTGACGGCGAGAAATGTCTCTCGGCTACCAGAAACAACAGGTATACAACACTGAGTATCACGTTACCCCCGTGTTTTGTAGCGTACTTCTCATGACTTATTTGTGTTGTTCGACACAGCCAGAGTTTTCAGAGATGAACGAAACTGGGATAGGTTATGTAACATAATATGTGATATATAATCCAGTTTCAGTCATATATATCGAATGGTGGATTTATAACATTAATGTCTATCTAATGTGACAACGCCTTGATGATTGGTTTTATACGCAATTTGTGACATGAAAACGTGGTCCTGATTATCGCTACACGTGTATGGTGTAAATACAAATGTATTTTAAACGAGGAAAATGATCAAGTTGGTTGACCTTCGAAACTCAGTTTGAAGAGAAGCTTATTCCATCATATATGATATGAACCTAGAATTTAAGCAAACCTTTGAAAAAAAAATTAAAAAAAAATCAACCCAAAAGAAAGCTTCATCTAGAAAGTATCTTGACAACCAAAGTGTCAGATTAATATTCCAAATTAAAGGATAATACATCGTCGTTATTGACCAATCACAGTCGCAATGTCAAAATACAACTTACGTACAACACCTGACCACATTAAGTCCATAGCACAACAAAAACAAATAACACCAGAGCATATTTCCATTTTACACACGGACAAAGACGGAACCCAACTCGAGTACAGTCATAAGTACAATTACGCAATAACATTCGTGATCGTTCTCTAAGTATCACACTGGTTATGTACTTAAAGTTACACAACACATTTGAAGCAGTGAAATATATAACGTATTAATGTGAAGTGAAGGTTTATAATGTTTTACAGCGAACAAAACTTTCCCGTCAGTGTTTTGTGTTAAGCTTAGATAAATACCTTTTAACGATATTTCAAAACTATATAAATCACAATATTACCTGAAATGTATTTGTCTGGAAATTCAGGGTAAGTACGACATTGACTTATCACTTTATTCCTGTTGTCGATATATTTCCTATATTTCCTCTTCAGTATACGGCAGCGTGCATTGACCGATCCGCTGTTGAAAGACGAGCCAGCAGCTACTAATAGTGTCAGTAGAAAGAAAAAACAAAGACGACGGGAAAAGAAACGACGTAATCGTAAAAGGAAGAATAGGAAAAGGAAAAACAAGAAAAGGAGAAGGCGTCAAAAGAAGAAGAAGAATAAGAAAAACAATAAAAGTAAGGAAATGAATGTCTACTGATATATTATCATTACATGTATTAAGTGATATCAGTTGGTATTAACGGTATCTTAAAGCCTATTTGTACCATGTGAACATGCTGAAACCTTAATCGATGTCAGTGTCGTCAGGATATATACAAATTTGATCATTATTTCCACCACAGTCAACTCAAAGTTTATCCATTAAATGACAGAGGCGTTGGTAAAACAAATCACCTACTTGATTTACAACTTCCTTTACTTCGAATGGTTAAATTTCTTAACTATAGAACGTGTCGGTTTGAATATTCGCGCATTTAGACTTCAATTAGACGCTATGGTTATTTTGCCCCTGTGTATTAACGCCGTTGTACATTTTTGTCCCTGCTTGTTGGCGATGTGGTATATTTTGTCCCTGCTTGTTGACGATGTGGTATATTTTGTTCCTGTTCGTTGACGATGTGGTATATTTTGTCCCTGTTTGTTGACGATGTGGTATATTTTGTCCCTGTTTGTTGACGATGTGGAATATTTTGTCCCTGTTTGTTGACGATGTGGCATATTTTGTCCCTGTTTGTTGACGATCCCCTCTATTTTGTCCCTGTTTGTTGACGATGTGGTATATTTTGTCCCTGTTTGTTGACGCTGTAGTAACTCTGCAATACTTTACAAAATGGTTTTTTTTGTGTTTTACAGAGGACCGCGGAAGACGTCGTTCAGGCCGCTCAGCCAAACAGATGGCCAACTGTAGCCATCACCTCATAGAGCTATGTCCCCTACCTCAGTGGTGCAATGGGTTTTGCCCAGCATTCCGGAATCGCTTTACCGGAGAAGAGATGGACTTCTTTAAACTTTTTGCTGTTTCCGGTATTGATCGGGCTAGCATTGCAGAAATTCTGGACGTCGATCAGTCGTCGCTTAATTCTATGAACATCGATACCATATCGGAATTATTACTCGATACATTTCGACATCGAGGCTCCTAGTAGCCGAAGTGTCCACATTGTTAAACTGTTTGAAACAACTACGGGTCTGAAAAGTAAGCACCACCCTTGTTTGTGTACTCAACTCTTTATTCAAAGACTTACTCATGTGCACGCGCATGCTTGCCGCGTGCATTGTTTTGTTTCAGGTTGTTGGTAAAGTTTTTCACAGCTACATAACAACTTTCATATTTTCTGATGTATTAATGCACGTCTGGCTGGTTGTGTATAGGTGTCTCTTAATCCTCTTTAATGAGCACGGTTAGCGTTGTTGATCTGTTTGACGTATATATGGTGTGGAAGGAAACAAATACAAATATTCGTATATTGATAATATCCTCAAATACCTATTATGTAGAAATATATATAACTAACATTTTAAAACAAGTAACAAAATGAACTATTGGCATTTTACGCGATAAGCTACCAAAACAGACTGGAATTATTTAAAAAAAACACACCACCAGAATGTTCGAATCACATTTTGTACAATAGACTCTATCAAGTTGATAGACAGGCTACTTGTTCATATCTCTTTTATTTTTTTTAATTTACAAAAAATGTCTTTTCGACGCAGGACTAATTTGAATGTTGTTCATTAAACGTAGAAGATGTGTGGTTAAACAACGAATAGACTGTTGTTCTGCCACCAGATTCAGTGAGTTGGTTGTATACGCTTTAATCGTTTTCCCAAACTTTGTATGGAACATTGCATTCAGGGATATATTGTATTGTATGTTTGTTGTAAATATTATTTGATCATTGTACAGAGATATAAGTATTGATAATGGTAATATTGTGAAAACTTGTATTATTATTATAATTATGGTAATATTGTGGTAACTACAAATGTACATGTATTACAACATTATGGTAACTATGGCAGTATTATGGTAACTATGACAATATGATAATTACTTTGGTAATATAGTTACAATGGTTACATTATGGTAGCTATGGTAATATTATTGTAGCTATGATAGAACAATGGTCACTATGATAATAATACGGTAACTACGGTAATATCATTGTAACTACGGTAATATCATTGTAACTATGGTAATACTATAATACCTTTGGTAATGTTATGGTGATTACTAATTGTTTGATGCGTTTAGTTGTCGATATGACAAAATTAGTGTTTATTTTGATGTTGAGACGGGTTACTACGGAGCTTCGTCCATTCAAAGATGGCGCCATCTTATGACGGCGATATTCAACTGGTTTGTCTGTTTAACGGTACGCATGTTCATGCATCACAGACAATTGTGTGATTAAGTGTACACCACTATTTATATAATTTCCAACGGAAAGAAATACAAGATAAATTGGTAGGGGTAATAAAACATGTAGGACGCTAATTTGTTACACGACAGTGGTGAAACATGTGTATAGTAAACGTGTATCACATTCTGATTCTTGAATTAAAAAATGAAAACAACTGTAATCCTTTAATAAATACTCTATTTCTTGTTTAGTCAGTAGCAGGGAAGTGCATAGTTTGTTTAAAAAAAAAAAAAACAACAACAAAAAAACATGGCCCTAAATGACCACAGCCGTCGATGGGCCGTTAAACCCAGACAAACAAACACAAGCGCATAGTCTACTGATTCAACGTACCTACCTCTACATAGGGACGCACCTGAGGCATACGGTAGGGCACATCGAGTGAGAACCTAAAGAGAGGTAACTCTTAGTAGCGTGTTATGTTCGAATGTTTTGTAATTATGTATAATAGAATTTGTTATTTATTTGTTGCAAAATATACGTAATATGTTTACTTTTATTTTGAAATCATTTCGCGTTACTTAATTTTTTATCGAAATGAAAATAAATTCATTTTTTTTTTTTATTGTTTACTATAATAGTTGGTGTCGCAAGGTTTTTTCTATTAACTTTCGCATTAAAGTACTGCTCTTCAGCAATAATATTCATTCTTCTGAAAATTCTGTTGTACCGAAACAAAAGACTTATTGCTGTTTAATGGAAATAATAAATTCAAAAGCCTTATAAAATATCGCTCTACAGATATCTTTCAACATCACTTTCTTTCAGTAATGGCCAAAAAACTAAAATATTGGATATATAATATTAAATATATATTAAAAAATAGTTAAATTACTAATAGGTATACATAGGATCTATACCTAAATGTACCTGTTTGTCATGTTTTCCTATCAAAAGCAGTTCTCCCAGCAGTTGTTTTCAGTGATGTCGCTAAGTTAGTTTTCTGTAAGTCCCCCCCCCCCCCCTCCCCCTGAATATGCATTGGTAAAACATTGGGTAATACTGTTGTTCGGTACGCTATAATAATGTTGTACAGACTTTGATTTGTTCTTGTTGTAAATCGCAAAGGCTATTTTACAATATTGTTGTATATTGTACTGTGATGTAAATTTTAACATATGTTTAATAAAAATGTATGAATATAAAATAAAGAAACCAAAATGAGACTTATTGATTGAATTTCTTTTCTATAATATGGTTAATTAAATAATTAGAATGAAGTAAAAGTCCTCCGGCCTTCGCCATATTTTAGTTACAGCGATTTCTTCCACGCTTAACGATTCTTCCACACTATACACGCGTCAGTGATTTTTTTTGTGTGTGTTTCCTTCACTAACTTTTTCTGACATTGATTTACTTGCACAGATTTATATCAAACACAATGTACCAAAAAATTCTTCAAATACCATATCTAATATCACAACTAATATCACATAATACATCTTATATCACAACTAATTTTACAACTTATATTAAACCTTATACGATATATCACATTTCATACGATATATCAAATCTAATACGAAATATCACATCAATACGAAATATCAAATCTATTACGAAATATCAAATCTATTACGAAATATCAAATCTAATACGAAATATCAAATCTATTACGAAATATCAAATCTAATAAGAAATATCACATCTATTACGACATATAACATCTCATACGACATATAACATCTCATACGACATATAACATCTCTTACGACATATAACATCTCATACGACATATAACATCTCGTACGACGTATAACATCTCATACGACATATAATATCTCATACGACATATAACATCTCATACGACGTATAACATCTCATACGACATATAACATCTCATACGACATATAACATCTCATACGACATATAATATCTCATACGACGTATAACATCTCATACGACATATAACATCTCGTATAACATCTCATACGACATATAACATCTCATACGACATATAACATCTCATACGACATATAACATCTCATACGACATATAACATCTCATACGACATATAACATCTCATACGACATATAACATCTCATACGACATATAACATCTCATACGACATATAACATCTCATACGACATATAACATCTCATACGACATATAACATCTCATACGACATATAACATCTCATACGACATATAACATCTCATACGACATATAACATCTCATACGACATATAACATCTCGTACGACGTATAACATCTCATACGACATATAATATCTCATACGACATATAACATCTCATACGACATATAACATCTCATACGACATATAACATCTCATACGACATATAACATCTCATACGACATATAACATCTCATACGACATATAACATCTCATACGACATATAACATCTCATACGACATATAACATCTCATACGACATATAACATCTCATACGACATATAACATCTCATACGACATATAACATCTCATACGACATATAACATCTCATACGACATATAACATCTCATACGACATATAACATCTCATACGACATATAACATCTCGTACGACGTATAACATCTCATACGACATATAATATCTCATACGACATATAACATCTCATACGACATATAACATCTCATACGACATATAACATCTCATACGACATATAACATCTCATACGACATATAACATCTCATACGACATATAACATCTCATACGACATATAACATCTCATACGACATATAACATCTCATACGACATATAACATCTCATACGACATATAACATCTCATACGACATATAACATCTCATACGACATATAACATCTCATACGACATATAACATCTCATACGACATATAACATCTCATACGACATATAACATCTCGTACGACGTATAACATCTCATACGACATATAACATCTCATACGACATATAACATCTCATACGACATATAATATCTCATACGACGTATAACATCTCATACGACATAAAACATCTCATACGACATATAATATCTCATACGACATATAACATCTCATACGACATAAAACATCTCATACGACATATAATATCTCATACGACATATAACATCTCATACGACGTATAACATCTCGTACATCTTTTATAATACAACATTCATTATTACACCTAACATTAAATCTAATTAATATTATAGTAAACAGTCACGTACGATACGAGAAATTCATCGCGTAATCAGTGATTGAAATATTAATAATAGTGAAAATATAAAGGGGACAACATCAAAAATAAAACACCGTTAACTGATTTAAAGCTATTACAGACGAAACAACATCTTTTTAAAGAAACAAGCGACGAACCAACAATTATTTATAGTTGATATAAAGGGAACAAACCATAATACATATTTGTTAAACAGGAAACAAAATCAGATGTATAGTAATAACAGACGGAGTCACACCTTATCTGTAAATTAGGGGTTCTTCAGTCCTCTTTTAACAACTATAAATGAGATTGTGTTCCGTTTGTAATAATTATCGCTATACGCGATAGTTATTAAGCAAATCTACAGAACCTTGAATTTCCACCATAAACTGAAAAAAACACTTCTGTAAAACGGGTTGACCTCTTCATATCATAAACCACCATTCCTGTTATGTTGAACTCTAAACAAATCATAAATCAGTTCATTCTGTCTTCAAAGGGTAAGCATAAAGACACATATCTAGTTGTAAAAAGTAAGGAGACTGATTTTGATGATATTGCACATAAGAACAAAGCTTTGGCCGCCATCATATTGTTCAATCCAGACGACGACACTTTCAGCAGATTATTGGTGTTAGACAACCATTCTGGTCCATCAGAGTGACTGTTCTTATGAAATTAAATGTATACAGGCGCTATCAAAACTAAATAGATATATTGATAATGAGGCTTATTTCTTAAATAACTACAAATTCTGACATCCCTTCAGTTCATTAAGTTGTCCCCTTCCTTTGCACATATTTCCCCCTAGTTTTATCGATTTTGAGATCGAATAACGTTTTAGTTTTGGCACCTAAGCATTCTCTTGTTGATATATTCCCTCGAGGCATAACTATGTGATGCATGCTTTCAAGCGCGGCTATTAGCCATGCAGTTTTCATTTACCCTACCGAGCCTTTGTCTTTCTGGATAAGAAGCGTAAACGGCAAATCAATATAAATGGAAACAGGAATAAAAATCAAATTCATCAATCAACACAATAAACGTGGGGAAATGTCATCTTATTGCCTTTGGAGACTTGTTTAACAAAACGGTACAAGAATTAGCGGCAACAAACAGTTTTGAACATCCATATTGTAGACAACTAAACATAGAAACTGAAATATTCAATCAAAAATATTCGTAAATTATTTCTATTTACTGAAATCTAGTGACGAAACTAAACAGAATGGACAATTCCAATAGCATAAACCTTCAAACTTTGTAACGGCTGTCAAGTATGGGACAATAATTTAACATTAATTCGATTAATGAAAATTTGGTTTGGTAGAAAAACGAACAAATAGTTTTGGTATATATAAAACAAAGCTTAAATATTTGCAATATCTCTTAATTGGGTACAAAACACTCAACCTACTTTGCAAAGTGCTGACTATTACTATACATTGATATATAATACAGTATACAAAACCTAACACAGATGTGAACAAAAGAGAAATCAAAGACTGTTTCACAAATATTACAGAAAGACGTATTGTTTGTACACAACGAATTAATTTGAAAAGGAATGGAATAATTACTTACTTTAATGCTTTAAATAAACAAAAGTCTATTAAGATTGCAATAGTCATGTTTCCTGAGCAGCCGTGTACGATGGTACTACAAGGCCGAGACTGCTCAGAGAGAATAATACAACTAACGATACTACGCAAATACTGACCTCTCGAATTGATTGATCAGACGGGCGAGAACTGCTTGTGCTGGGAAATTGGATATGCAGGTGATATTAACGTTGATTGTTTGTTCTACAAAACGTGTCATGGCAATTGTTTTCCTTGTTGCAAACAATAGTTATGTGTTCCCAAGAGAAGCATATGGTACTTCAGATATAATTTCTTATTATTATATGCGGAAAAGGTCCCCAAACCATGATGGTTGATTATCATCTTTACATAACTCTCGTTCGTTAATTTTAAAATTGTAAAAGACACTTGGTAATCCTGGTGTTTTATACAATTTGAAAATTAACTAACTAAATTTTCAATTTCAACAAATTTTATTGACTTTATATATTCAATTGAATTTGACATCAGA